TCCTAGACTGCAGTGCAGCCTGGGTTGTGGCAGGGCTCACTAGTGGAGGCTGGTGAGTGAGGATTGAGTACTCCTTCCTGTACCTGCTCTTTAACTTGGCAGCCTTTTTGCTCTCTGGATGTTTTACCAGTGCCCTATAAACATCTATCCAGGAGGGAGGGGCCAAAACACACTGATACATACAGTGACATTTGAAACATCAAATCCAAGACTGCAATTCAGAATGCAGACTTTTTTTTTAACCGAAACTTCTTTTATCTAAACCAGAAAATGTGTAGGCCACATACCTATTGTTAATATTTAGGCATCTGTACTAGCCTATCCTCAGGATTCTGACAGGATACGCCCTCAGCTGCAACCACTAAGAGCACCACCAGTGCTTATTCACTGTGTTCCCTTTTAAAAGGGCTCTGCCCACCTCCCATCCTTCTCTCTCTTTCTCTCCCTCTCTGTTCCACTCTCTTTCTCCTTCTCCCCCTCTTTCCTGTCCCCTCTCTACTGCTGCTTCTGTCTCCAGAGGCCAATCACCCCCCCACCCCCTGCTTTCCCCTTTTGATGATCACTTTTCCTAACAGCAACAACAACAACAAAAAAAAAACCCTCTGCTTGAACCCTTGTCTCATGGCATCTTTCTCTCCAGTGCTGCTTTTCTTAAATTACAACACCTATCAGAAGACAGAACCTATTCCCCTTCAGCTGGAGATATCCAACTGTCAGCCTAAGGCTGTGGTTACCTGCTTTGGATCTAAAATTAAGATTTTCATTAAATTCTGATTATTAAGTTCAAGCCAGTGTGTTTTAAAAACAAGGAAATCACATCTGGGAGATCTTCCTATTACTGCAGAGTCTTTGGTTTTTCTGAGCCATGACCTGTCATGTTCCTGGTGCTTGCTACCTGTCTGAAGCAAATCAACATTTGCCTCCTAGGATGTGAGATTGGCTCCCACCTCACCCCTTAAGGTCTGATATGTGCTCCCACCTCACCCATTAGGATCTGAGATCTGCTCACACCCCACCCCCTTCACTACTGATTCTGTTAGACTTGTTTGAAGACAAGGCTCCCTGTACCTTTTTTTTTTTTTTTTTTTTTGGTTTTACAAGACAGGGTTTCTCTGTATTGTTTTGGAGGCTATCGGTCCAGCCCGGCCTCGAACTCACAGAGATCCGCCTGCCTGTGCCTCCTGAGTGCTGGGATTAAAGGCGTGCGCCACCACCGCCCGGCCGGTTCCTTGTACCTTAAAGACAGCATCTTGATGTTAACTCAGCATTTGGTTAACAGGAGTACATTCTCCATACCCTTGTGAGCATTCTCTCGGGCATCTGCACAAAGCTAAGCTTTGTGTGGAATCTACAGAAGTTCTGATGTGGGCGCCAAGAGCTGGGCTTGGCAATGGTTCATCAGTCATGTCTCACTAACAAAGAGATCACATTTCCCAGTACAAGGTAACTCAATTTCAAATTCTGTAGCACACTCAAGAAATAATCCTGAAAAGTTCATTGTTTACTTTTGTTTAAGTGTGGCTTCCTTGTAGTGTGACACTGTGATCTCTCTGTTTTAAACAGAAATTGTTACAGTCATAGTGTCTCTTCTCTTCCAGAAAGGAGCTTGAGGGTTGCTTTTAAACGTTGCCATGTGCTGCCCTGTTAAGAAGGAAGGAATGTATAAAATAATACTGTCACTTCTTTCTCCTCTATTCATAATGCAGAAAGGGAAAAATACTTTAAGACCAGTGATTAACGGTAAAGCAATTGCATTATATCCTTGTAAAAATTAGCTTCAAAATTATTGTCTTGATGTAGGCACTTAAGAAAAGGCAAGGATACAAAACTAGCTACAGATATTCATGGTGACCCTGAAGTGTGTATCTGCGTGGGAGTGGTAGAGACATTTGTAAGCATTTGTTAAAGCTGCAGGACTCATGAGGAAGGGAGGGAAGCAGTCAAAGACTAGGTTAAAGATGGAGGTTTCAGAAAGGAGACAGGTGTCAAAGTGAATGTTCTTACTATTTGGTTCAGTCTTCAGCCAGTACCGAGAATATGGGAAAAAAGTAGAACTGTGGTTCCCAAACCACTAGATCTCTAGGTACCCTTTGCATTCTTTTTTCTTTCTGGTGTGTGTGTGTGTGTGTGTGTGTGTGTGTGTGTGTGTGTGTGTGTTTGAGACAGTTTTCATATGTATCTCTCAATATGCCAGTTTGACCTCAAACTTACAATTCTCCTAGCTGAGCCCCACAAGTCCTTGGATTATACCCACCCCTCTTTCATATCCTTAAAAGTTAATCGAAGACTACAAAGAATTTGTGTTTACATGAAGTTATAGCTGTAGAAAATGGCCAGCTGAAAAATTGCAGCCATAACCATTTTCTAAGTATTTCATTCATTAACAATGAAGCTTTAGGTAACTATCATATACAGCCATGAAAAATAACTATAGGAAGAAATCAATTATACAATTGTGTTGTGGTTGGAGGCAGTGATAGAATAAGATGCAGATTCATGGAGTTCAATGAAATTCTCAGTTGACAACATAGGAAAACAAAACTTTATAGATAAAAATGTGCCTCTGTTTCTTATATGGGTCCTTCTATGGTTTGCTTACTGGGGTATGTAGTTTCCCCTTGATTGTGGCATTTATTTAAAAACATTTCCATTTTGCATCTGTTAACACTGCCTGTGGCAGTTAATGCCACTGCCTGTGGCATTGTTTTACCCCATTATTAAACTCCTTTTTTCTGAGTTTTCCTTGAAATGCTGCTGCAACCTGATTTGTGTTGTCACATTAATATGAGAAGTGGCTCTCCAGTGACACAATGGAATGGGTGGGATTTATAAAGTCCTTTTGACCTCTCAGGTAAAGAGCCTCTTATATTTCTTGAGACAGAAAGCTGTTTGATGGTGGGAGTTGGGTGGACTGCATAAGCATCTTAGATCTTTATGATTCAATCACACTGTAATTATTCCAACTTTAGAATTCTCTCTCTTTCACTTTTTATTTACTGCTTGCTTCTAAGGATTTCTTTCTCTGCAACATTTCTTTGCTTTCCTGTGTCCATTTTATTCCCACCGAAGTTCTGTAGTAATTTATGGCCATCATAAGTCTATCAGTAATTGTCTGCATCTTTGCTAGCTTCTTTTTTACTTTAGTCCAGAACATCCTGTATGGAGTGACATAGATGCTTCCTGTAATTACTATTTCAGAAGCCTTGCTTTTTGTTTATTTGTTTTGTTTTTTAAAGATAGTGTTTCTCTGTGTAACTGTAATGGCTATCCTAGAACTCATGTTTTAGACCGGGCTGGCCTTGTATTTATAGAGATCCACCTGCCTCTGCCTTCCAAGTGCTGGGGTTAAAGGCATGTGCCACAATTGCCCAGCATGCCTCGGATGATTTTTAATGCAATCCCTAGCCTATAGTCACCTCCACTCAGCGGCCCCTTGCCAACATACTCACTTAGACATCTCAGTCCAGGTATGTAAACCCATGTCTCCTTTGTGCATACTGACTTCATGAAGAGAGCTTTGAATACCCCATCTCTCCTGATCAGAGTGCTTCTCCCCTTCATTTTGCCAGAAAAATAATTGATTTTATTTTGTTTAGCTCCATTTCTCAAGATTCATTACTGTGGAACCCTTATCCTCATAGATGGCTGTCAAAGTACCAGATAGTTTCTGTCTTCCCTTTGCCCTACCCTTATCCCTCCTCCATTCCTCTCTGCGTCTTGTCATAGAGGCAGATCTACACAGATCAAACCACATCAAGTCTTCTCTGACCTGTGCTTCAACTTGGCTAAGTAATACCCAATCATTGCACCAAAAACACTAATGTAGCTGTCAGTATACAGGTGTTTTGTAGATGCGATTAATATCCACAATTAGTATGCTCTAAGAGGATTATCCTCCAAAATGTCAGTGAGCCACTTTCTATCATGCTTAGGCTTAAGCAAAAACTGATGTTTCCTGAAGAAATTCTAGCTTAAGAAGCAACTCCCACCTGTGTTTCTGGCCTGCTGGTCTGCCTTGTGCACTTTGAAACTGCTAGATCCTTCCTCCTTATCCAGGATTTATCCTTTTTTTCCCCAGACCTCTTTGTCTGCTTCCTTAAAAAAAAAAAAGAAAAAGCAATTGACATCATTTTTCCTTCTTGGTTGTTTGTTTGTTGTCTTTTGTTTTGTTTGTTTGTATTCTGAGCCAAACTGGAACCACATAGCCCAGCCTTTTCTTGTCATGGCAATCTTTTTCTCTTTGCCTCCGGAGTGCTGAGATTATAGGTACGAGCCCCTAGACCCAGCTGACACCTCACTTCCACAGTTCCTTCTGTGTTCAGTCTGGTACTCTCAGCTGCTCTTGCTGAAGTTGATGAAGAACCCCAGCCAGGGTACCAGAGTGCTGTTTAAAAGGAGAAATGAATGCCCAGTGGCTTCTGAGAAGACTGGCTATTATTCATCCCTGATGGATTACTTACACTGACATGTAGGTGTTTACAAAGTTCACTGCACTTGGAATCTGAACCATCATCAGTGAACCATTCTATTCTTGTAATATTGCACCCCATTACTCTTTATTGAAATTGAACCTTTTACAAGTATGTAATTTTGTGACATAATGCATCACCAATTGGAAATGCTGGTTCCCTCCATTGTGGCCTCTTCCAGATGCTGACAAATCCCATTATCTAAGATCAACGAAATGTGTTCATTATCCACACCACCACTCTTACCAGGAATATTTTCCAAAACTCATATTTGAGTATGAATAGCAGGTTCATTGTATTTATAATTAGAAATCTCAGCCATCCTGGGTCTCACAATACTCACTTCAAGGAAAAAACTGTGTTCTATAAAATAGTTGCTAACTCAGCTTGGTTTTCTTTGAGACAACTTGATGTTATTGTGTAGACATGAACATGTATGTTTCCCATCTAGTCACAAAAATGGATGCCAAGGATGTGAGATTTAATAAAGACAACTTTCACTGCTTTTAAAGAGAATATTCAAAAGTCCTTTACATCGGATTTATTGGAGGAAACTTGTTATTTACTTTCCTCCCCACAAATATGAAGGCTGTACAAAGGAGCTCTAGGAACTATGTGTCCACATTGCCTTGATCTGCAGCAGCACATTGTGAGTCTCAGCCACCTGCGGCTCCTATAGACAGAATCAGGTGAAGTACTATGAAAATGTTGACCTCAAGAATCCCCAAGGAGAAGTTTGGGCCTCCTCTGGGGTCTGGGAATACTCAGATACATCCTCTGGTCTTTCTTCTTGTAAAGCAAGAGAGACAGAAGTCAGTAGATGCTAGGCATGCAGCAGGCTGAATAAAGCGGGGCCCATGCTCTGCAGCTGCCTCCTACATGCTCATGAGAAGCTCCCTGAGGAAGGGGGCATGTCTGAACTTAGGAGCTGCAGAGGAGATCAGCTAGCTCAGGCCCCAAGTAAAGATGGTACTTGGGGTGTTCTAGAGACAGAAAGGAGACCTTGGTTCTGAGCCCTGTGAGGGGAGGGAAGATCAGTGAGGTGCTATGCTCCACCTGAACTGGCTCAGAAACCAAGGTCAAAGCCTGGTGCTCTTTCGAATGTTTGTGACTACAGGAGAATAGCCCTGTTATCTACCTCCCCTCTACCTCCTTCCTTCTGTAAGTGGCCTTAGCTGGATTCAAAGTTCTGACGCTGTAAATATAGTGTAAAGAAAATCCCCAAACACAAAATATGGCATGACACTTACTTTACAAAATAAAAACCAAACCATGAGCTATGGGTGGTTGTGGTAGAGGTTAAAAGAAAGAAAATATAGGGAACAGTGTTAACCTTCAGAAAGAGGCATCCAGGCGATGGCTTGGGGAGACGGCAGAGGGCAGAGATTTCAAGCTCTGATGCTATCCAGTGGCTTTGCTGGTGTTTTGTATCTCACGAGGATCAGTGAGGAAAGCAGACTGAAGTGGACCAGCTGGCAGTGGGGGCTGTTCTTCATGACAGGCAGTGTGTGGGGTGTGACATAAGAAGGGTGGAGAGTGCAGTTCACAGGCAGATCGTGTGCTTAGCATGCACAGAGCTAAGATTCAATCTCCAGTACCACTCCCACTGAAACAAAAGAAAGGGGAGAGAGGAGAGCTGTCAAATACCAGCACATTTTTCTTTTTAATTCGCCAAGAGTTAACTTCCTAGCTTGTTTGGACCATAGTGATATGCAAATTCCAAGTGTAGTGTTGTGGGTCAGAAGATGGTCCTGGGAGAAGGCTACTTTGAGACCAACTATTCAACCAAGGGCACATTGTTGATCCCCCGGGGCCTCAGTGTCAGCTGAGGGGTAGACTAGTAGTATTCCCCTTGTAGGGCTACTGAGACCATTTCCTGGGATGCAGCCTATTCACTGTCACTCCAAAGTCTCCTAATTGGCAGAAGGTCTCTCTTCGGAATATACTCTCACTCTACCCATTTTTTTGTCATTCATTGTTAAGGTAACTAGGGACCAAGAATGAAGCAGCTCTGTGTGTTGTGTTGTGTTGTGTTTGTGGGGAAAAGGTTGTTGAATCTGTTCTTAAGAATGTTTGAATTCAATTCTTTTTGCCTGAGGATGATATTTTGATCTTAGATGATTGTTTTTTGAACAAGCAGTAAGAAAGCAGAATGAAATTTGGAGGCTCCATGCTCTTCCTAAAAAGAAGCTTCGGGGCTTTAAGCCAAAAATGTGGCTGGAAATGAATTTTAGAAGCATCCACCGTGGGCAACCTCAGCCAAGCAGCCGGCTGGTGACAGGCACGTTCCCCTAAGACTGGAGAAGCCCTGAAGAGCAGTGGCAATTGAAGGCTGCTCCAGGCAAGGGCATTCTGAGTGCACTTCTCCCCACCATGAATGGCTCTACTTGTATTGAGCAGGTTTGGAATCTACCTGATTAGTGTATTTCCATAATTGTATTAGTTGGTTTTGGTTTTTCGAGACAGGGTTTCTCTGTATTGTTTTGGAGGCTATCCTGGGACTCGCTTTGTAGACCAGGCTGGCCTCGAACTCACAGAGATCCGCCTGCCTCTGCCTCCTGAGTGCTGGGATTAAAGGCATGCGCCAGCAACGCCCGGCAGTTGGTTTTTTTTTTTTTTCATCACTGTTCCCAAATACCTGGTAAGAAACAAGTTAAGAGAGGGGAGTTAAGTTTTCATTCAGAGTATCAGCCCACCACTTTGGGGACAGCACAGCCAGTTCATGGTGGCAAGAACATGTATGTGGCTGGGACTGAAGCAAGGAAGGTGGTGACCCTCTATTTCAGCCCTAGGCTTACAGACTAGGTCTGTCAGCCAGACCCAGGTCCAGAAGATTCCACAGCCTCCTAAAACAGCACCAGCAGACAGGTACCAAGTATAAGAACCAATGAGCCTGCGGGGAACATTTTCACATCCAAACCATAACAATAGTTTAGACTCTTTTTCCTAAGGCAGGGCTGGCCCAGGCCTGACAGCCAGCAGAGACCAGTGTGACAATAATCAGTGACTTCCATGCCACACTTAAGAATTATAGTCTGGTTCTGGGTCCCCATGACCAAAAGGAACTATAGAGACAGAGCAAGCAACAGTGATAAGGAACTCCATTGCTGTAGCTGCTATTAATATCATCAGTGTAGCTATTTTAGGAACATTATTGGAAGATGGGTGGGTAAATTCCAGCAGGTGAGTAACTGTCACAGTGGGACACACCAGCACTTCAAGACTTGACTTGAAAAGAGGTGTGCTGCACCTGCCCACCACAGGGCACCTGCTCCATGTTTCCACTCACAAATAGAAACTCTATTTTTTTCTTTCTAAAACCCTTTTTTAAAAATCCTCCCTTGGGAGTAATCACATGCCACAACCCTTCATCTGGATGTAGAACAAATGTGCTCATTTAGTGAAGCACATCTCACAGGTGACTGAGCGAAACAGTTTCAAGGCCTGACAGTTTCAAGGCCTGGCAAGTCTCAGTGCTAAAAGGTGCACATTTCGTGACTGTGGCCCAACAAGATGTAAACAGTGATGACAATACAGCAGCAGGAGAAATATTTAGGCTATAATATTAAGTCAAGTAAAACCTAAAATGGTATGATTGTAAAAATATGTATCTATGGTGTCCTTGAAAGGGTGACTTATTGGGAAAGGTAGACTCATGGAGGTTGTTGGGGAGGTTGTGGGAACAACAGACCTTGGCCAGAGGCCCACTTTCCCATCAGCCTGGCAACAGGCAGCTGTAAGACAATGTTTACTAAAAACATGTTTACTAAAAACAATACAGTGCCCAGAGCAATAAGTTCCTGATAAGGGCTCGCCCACAGAACGCCCTGACCTTGACCTTTTCCAAAGACTAACCTCCACTTCCTGACCCACCCACCACCACCTCTGGTGTCAGGGCATATAACCAGCCAGGGGTAAGAAAGGGAGCGGAAGCTTTTCTTGGGGGAAGCCTTTCTTGGGAAGCATTCTTGAGGCTTCTTGAGGAGCCTTCTGGAAACCACCAACGGGTCTCTGTGTCATCAATCCCAACACCCTCCGCACATTCTCTGACACAGACTGTGCAGCGGGCACTGCAGAGGTGGTACCTGATTACTCACAATAATGGTTTTCCATTAATGGTTTTGTAATAAAATAAAGGTAAAAATGATTAAGAAAGGAGTGTTTCCAAGAGGCTTCTAGATCTCATCAATCCCTCTGCTAAACAGCCGTGCTTTCAGCAGAAAGGGGGTTGCACATGTGGAGGAATCAGCATGGTGTACAGAGCTGAGCACCACTGTGTACTCTACAGCTCTGGGATATCCCTAGTCAGTGACTCCTCTAGCTTCTCACACAGTCAGTACTTCCCTTCCACATGGACAACCCTTCCAGGGAGCATGGAATGACAGTGGCTTCCTTTGGCTGTCAGGTTGATGTACTCAATTAAAATGAGCCCAATTCTAGGACCAACTAAACCCTGTCATACTCAAAAGAGAGACCTTGGGCAAGTTGCATAGCCTCACTGGGCCTCACTTTTGGTATCTGTAAAGTGGAGTGACAGTTTCTTCTTTGTTGAGTCTTTACTAGTAGGAAAGACAAAAATTTGTTGCTTGGTACCCAGGAAGCTGCTCAGTGAACAGGGGGTCTGCAGCACTTGCTGCTGTAGGTAGGTGGGGTTGTCATTGTCACATTGGCATGACTAGAGAACCATCATCTGGTGAGCTCTGCTTCGGTCTCTTCCCTGAGGTTGACTCCTTCCTCCCCCAGTGCTTTCTGTCCCATGTGGGCTCTGGAGATATTATATACATGCCTCTTCCACTGACATCCACTACTTTCATGTGACAACTGTGTCCTTTATATTTGTTACCACTTTCAGAGGTAGAGGCAGGATGCCAAGTCACCAGAACATAGAAAGGCCAGGTCGGGCTTTCTAGAAGAACTATGCCAACAGGTCTCACGTAACTATAGAGCGAGTGCATCCACCTGGATCTGTTTGCTGAGAACATGGCCTGGGTCTCAGTTCTGCTCAGCATTTGCTTCCTGAAACTTTCATTTGTTTTTCTATCTAATGCCTTCCATCTTCCCCGCTCCCAGATAAGCAATGCTTGGCACCATGTTGGCATTCGTTATAGATTTAATAAGTGCCCAGCTAATTACTTAAGTGCAGATTCAATGAGTCTAAGTTCACAGACTTAGGGACACCAAGATCTTAGTACCTTTCCCTCTGGGGCATATGACAACTATGAACACTTCTGGGGGTTCCTGTCACACACACACACCCATTGTTGCCATGTGGCATTGGTCCCTGGAAAGGTAACAAGAGGATTCCAACAGAAAGTTCTTTCTAAATTACATGTGTGTCTGGAGGCAGAGGTCAGCTTACCCATACTGTTAAGAGGGTCACCCCATGAATGGAACTGTTAGAGGGACTGCAACAAGGGCAAAGAGTGGCTCAGCGCTGAATCTACTCTGGCACTAAATTGCTAAATAATTGAAAGACTCAAGCGAGAGATGGGCAAACGCTGCCTTGATGTACCTGCAGAGAACTGAAGGGACTGGGAGCACTTGCAGATCGGCCATTGCCATTTCAGCCATGGGGTTGCATTCTTTGTTCATTGCAGACGGTGGCAGGAATTTCCAGTCATAGGGACAGTTTCATGAACAACATAAATGGAGGAATTATGCCTGGCTTGTGAGTCTACCCATTAACTTGATTGTATTTCAGAATAATCCAACCGCTGGGAATGGCCTGATACGGCTTTGTAAATGTGCTTAGAAGGAACTTGGTGTTTTCATATGGTGACATTTGGAGGGAAATTATGGATATCAGAGCATTACAGCTTTATTGGGTTTTTGTTTGTTTTGTTTTATTCTTTTGTTTTGGGCTTTGCTTATTTTAAAGTGGGGTTTGCTGAAGCCGAAATGGCTGTTTATTCATGATGAGCGAGGGGCAAGGAGGTAAAGGGAATAATTCTGCTCATCTAGAAAGAATGACTTCTTCAAAATGATTTTTGCTGTTGGCAAAGCTGAGAATATATTCACAGGAGTCCCTGCCTGCAATAAGTGACAGGAAAAACACATTGTGCACTGTGGATCGCTATAGCTGGTAGCAAATGGGCTTAAATCACAGTGTGAGCTGGGTGTGTACAGCAGCCCTAGCTGGTTCTCAAAACCCTCAAGCACAGTTGGGCTTTCTCCTGAAAAGAGCCAAGTGCTTGCCCTGGCATAAACTGTTCTTGAGGCGGACATTTCTACCCTACCCTTCTCCTGCTGCTCTCCCTCCCCCACTATGCAGAACTGGGCCACACTTAGACCCCTGTGCTCCCACTGACTTTGGAGATTATGGGAGGAAATGTCCTTGTCTCCATCAGTGTCTTATGTGCTTATGACAGTGGCCTGCTTAGCAGGCTGCCAGGCCACCACACTCCCCAGAAAGCTGTCAGTAAGGTCCAATGGCTGTGGGCATTTGTGCTGCTCGCTCATCCACAGATGGCTGGTGTTTCCATTTCTCACGACTTAGCAGAAAGGGCACTTAAACAAAGCAAGCATTTAGTTTCAGACAGCATCAGCTTCCCACTGCAGGAAAGAGCCCAGCCTGGCAGCTGTTGCTTGCATTGGTTTAAATCTGCA